TAGTCTTTGCAACTTTACAGATCTTCTTTATGCACCAAGAGCTTGTAACACTCCAAAGAGAAAGGAAAAATTGAAATCGCATCATATGACCCCTTTAAAAGGGCATTGAAAATGAACAAAAAAAACTCCATTATAATTGGTAAGTACTGCTAGACTAAATTATTTTTACAGTAAGACACATAGAATGTGTTTAACAAAAGAAAAAGACAGAACGGTATACTATTATAAAGCTCCACAATTTATATCTACAGAATTATGAAGGAAAACTTTCGTCAGGGATTATGATTTTCGGGTTAAAGATACATTGTGTCAAAGAGCGCATGCTAACCTGCATGTGGTTTCCTTGAGATTCCATCACAAGTTGTTGTGGGATTAAATGGTGAACTCCATTCTGAGAGCTGACATACTGGACCTGGGCAATGAAAGACAGAAGAGATGGAGACAAACAGTACTGTCAAACTGTAATTTGATCATGAATCCATCTGACTGAGAGTCTCAAACCTGTTTATTTGATCCTGTTTATAGTGATTCTTGTAAAACTGTAGTAGAAGTTGTACCTCAGTGATTTCATTATGTCTGGTCAATAGGTACTCCACCATCTGTCCATCTGCAGGGTTGTTCTGCAGAATATATGTCACCTCCTGTGAAATAAAGTGAATCATATTCATAGGACACCAGTTTTAAGATGTTTAAGATGCTAGCCATGTGGTCATGAGTCAGATGCACTAACTGCTTACAATAATGCTTTTGAGAGAACAACATGACATTCAGAAAATTTCAGAATTTGGGGGTGAAATGTCTCTTTAAGAGTTAGAATTTTAAAGCCTTATATAAGCTATGTGACAAAATTCACCCGAATTTCTCTGCATTGTTCTCAGAAACAATGGCTGTGGAGGGAGAATAAAAGGGCCAGACTGCTGGTTTGATGGAGGATTTTGGTAGTAGGAGAGTTGTGTTTATGCCACTGAGGTGAATAGTGAATAATATAATAATTATTTCACAATTTATTATTTAATAATTATAAGAATATCATCTCCAAATAAGCATGACAAACACATAGCATATAAGATTGATGGTAACAATATTCGTACTTCTGACGCATCAGAAATATTTTTCCTTAATTAATGAATGCAAAATTTCCATTTAGAAAAGGTTCCAAGTCTTACCAGAAACTGTAATGGAACACATTCACAGGTGTCAGGGAACCCTCTGAAACCACACCTGTATATGCCAGCATCCATTACACTATTATTACATCCATTACATAATTATTACTTCAAATTCCCCTTTAGAATTACTGATGAATATTCTTCCTCGATACACGGTGGCAACTTGTTTTTATTATTCACAAACTGGAGGCACTCCGACTGATTAAACTTGCAGCAAGCTTTTTATAACTGTTATAATATGGATGAAAGAAATATTTAAAAATAATTCTATTTGATGAACAAAGCACATGAAGTCCTTCAGTTGGATTCATCAATGAAAGACAAATATATTTTTAATCAAGCACCCATTGACAAAAAACTGATCGTTTGACTGAAAATTTTGAGGCCTCATCTACAAATGTAGCTGTTAAATGAATATCCAGTGTTAAATACAATTTAATACTTACATCTGCAAAAAGTGATTGAATACAACAGAAAATCATGCTGACTCCACCCTTGGTCTGCAAAGACAAATGAAAATTGCATTTACTGTAATGAGCATTCAGTTGAAACTGAGCAAATACAATGACAGACCACTTTAAACTTTATTATTAACCATATCTCTGAAAAGTTACATTCAATTTTCAAGCTCATGTCACAACCAAGTGAAAAAACACACCTTTTAATTGGGATGGACTTGGAACCTGGTACCGAGCATTAAAGTAGATTCAAATGCAGAAGAGATGAAGACAACAGTGACATTGTGATCATGAGTTCATCTGAACATCTTTTAACCTCACACAGCTTGGCATTTATTTGTAAGATGTTGAAAAAGTCAGCAAGATGTTTTCTTAATGTCTACAAGTGTATATATATATATATATATATATATATATATATACACACGAATTTCTCTGCATATATATATATATATATATATGTGTGTGTGTGTATTGTATTATGTTCTGTTCCCTTGTGTCATGTGCAACAGCTTTGTAAAACCAGTACTGTAGCAAGACGAATTTAAGAAAACCAACGATCAGTTCAGATAGAGGTTGTGATTTATTTGTTTCCTTTCTGTAGCCATCTGAAAGAAAAACAAACCTCCAAAACTTAAAAAGCTAATGATGAAATGGCACATTTCATGTAAAATGAAAACAAATAATCAACCCTCCTTCATAAGCACTTTAGCTACTGAAAACTGTTTGCACACTGTCACTGAAGTAGCATCCATTGTAGTACATCACAGCAACATGTAGAATTAAATACAGGGATTCTCTATACAGGCTGATCTTGGCTTTCGTGTTTCTTTTTCTTTACAAGGCAAAACACTGTAGGCACAAAAAGATAAACTGCTTTAAATATTTACAAAGGCATGAGTCGTATAATTTTCAGAGAGGATCTAACTGTACATTCACCCTCTTACTGAATAATTTAAGGCTGGGAAACAATTTTGTTACTTAGTATCCACTGCAGTCATCTGAAGCTGAGACGAGCCTCAGATAAACCTGTCTGTGTGTTTGTGTTTGTGTTTGTGTCTTGTTTCTACTCCTCAGTAAAAGTGATGACGTCATACTGGATGCCCTGCTGCTGCAGCTGCTCCAGTTGTTCAGGTGTGGCCTCTGTGTAAACCGTCTGAGCCTGAGCCATGGCTGCATCTGCAACAGCTACACACACATCACTTACATCACCTCTGATTCTCTTAAACATCACCAGAAGGTTGTAGTATTAGAACTTTCTGTTACTGGCACTGTGAGTGATTAAAACTAAGTGTGAAGGTGTAAGGTCATACCAGTGACAGCGGAATGGGCAGCTGCCTCCAGGTCCTCAGGGGCGACAACCTGCTGCTCGGCAGTGATGGGGACGTACTGGATCTGTCCATCCTGAGACAGGGCAATCTGACACACAACACAGAAGAGATTTACACTTGAACCAGATTAAGAAACTGATTATGCAACTCTTTTTCACTGTTAAATGAATCAAAAGTGACAGTTAAGATTACTATTTCAATAAATTCTGTTCTTTTCAACTTTCTATTCATCAAAGAATACTGAAAAAAAATTGCATGTTTTAAAAAAAAAAACTTTAAGCACTCAATACTGATAATAAGACATGTTTCTTGAGCAGCAAATCAGCATATATGATTTCTGAAGGATCATGTGCCACTGAAGACTGGACAGCTTTACCATTACAGGAATAAATTACATTTCAAAATATATTAAAATTGAACAGAACAGTTGTTTTAAATTGTAATAATATTTCATAATACTACAGTTTTACTGTATTTTTGATCAAATAAACAGATTGGCGAGCATAAAAAAAACATTAAAACTTCTTACCTATTTTAAACTTTTGAATGGTATTATGTTTCTGATTGATGTCACTTCATTAAAATAGCATTGAGATGTTTTATATGCTGTCATTAACAACAAAGCTGCATATGGAGCCATTTAGGAATATGTTCAAATAATTTCTAGCATTAAGGCATGAACAGCTCAAAGTAGAATCTCTAAGCTATCGTGCTGTAATTACTGTACTTCAAATACAACGTGATTGCGGCATAATATAAGCTGTAATATATAAAAAAAACATTTGTATTCTGCTCTGGCCTCAACCTGTTGTTCTTGCAGAAACGTTCCATCATGCTCGTACTGAATGTGAGCAATCCGCCCATCCTCCATCTGCAATTCACAATCAGATTTTTTTTGTCATAATGATGAAATATCACATCCTACAGACCACAAATGACACTGAAAATGTTTTTCAGGCTGCAGTAACAGATCAGGTGAGGCTCCCAGCCATCAGAGAACTGTTCATCGACAACCATGAGGAATTCTGGACCCTTGGGTTATGAATGATGGAAAGAGCATATACTAACCTGAATGTGGTTTCCTTCAGATACCACCACATATTCCCGTGGGAGCAGGTGCTGAACTCCATCCTGAGAGATGATATACTGGACCTGAGAAAGTACAGGGCAGAAGTGGGCATTCAACATGACTACAAATGAAGGTTTTGAATGTGTTTGCTGATCACACACACACACTACAGTTCAAGTTTTTTTTTTAGGATTTTT